CAATAAACTCTGTTAAACTTTTACCCAGCCTCCGTTGTGTTCTGCATGTGGGCTAAGAACCTTAAACCCATCATGACAAAGAGTCAATGATTTCCATAAATGTATTAAAATTTGTGTTCAATTATTTTCTACAATTATCAGTCCGATTTAGGTCTTGACATTTTATTGAGTGTGCTTTGATCAAAACAATTCTACGAAATCTCAATATATGTATAAATGCTGCTGTTTTATAGGAAGCTGAACTTCTACCCAGACTCAAGTCTTTTTCAGTCATTTTCAGGATATAACGTATTTAGTTTAATCAATTATGTTATGAAGTCTGACTATTAAATATTTCATCTGTTAAAACATCTACATGTATTTGTCAAAAAATAAAAAAGCATTTACTGCCTGTTGTTGATGAATGTACAGTTTCGCTGGTTCTTGCTATTATTCCCATCTCTCCTCTGTCACCTTTAGGACCTGCAAAGACAAGATTTACGTGTAACGCAATTTATAAAACTAAGTATCTTTAAGTAAACTACTTAAAATCTAAATAAAAAGCCGACCTACCAGGTTGACCAGGTAGACCAGCAGGGCCAATAGGACCTGAGGACGTGAATTAATCACATTGAACAGATTTAATTTACTGCGTAATCAGATTCTGATATCTAGAATAGTGAACATCGGGAAAATGTTGCCAAGATAGAGACCTGATAGTCCTGGAGGACCTGCAGGACCAGGGGGACCAGCAGGTCCAGGTGGTCCTGGGATGCCAATGGATGTTGAACCAGCTGGGAAATAAAAACAAATCATTGCATCTTCGGCTGTTGTCTCATAAAAAAGGATGAAACAGGCTTTATCATATATTTTCTTTCACCTGCATTGATGATTCGTCCTGGTTGGCCGGTTTCACCTTAAAAACACAAACACATGTTGAACACTGAGCAGGAGGATGCGACAGAAAAACACAATTAAAAAGGTTGACAACGGCTTTACCTTTGATTCCTGGTTGACCAGGATTTCCTGGGATGCCTAGCAACACAGAGATCATGTTTGATCATGTGGTTAACATTATATTGATGGATATGAACTTTTAAAGACAGGTTCTGTAAGGGGATCAAGCAGTTAATATCTAAACGGCACAACTCTGTTAATTTCATATAATTGTCGCTTTTTTTATCTAGCAGCTCCTAGTCTTAAATACACATCCTGAAGTTGAACTTCCAACATGAAAAATCTGAGCTTCATTAGCTAAACAGCCCTGCCTAGAGTATCCAATATGTCTGCTGATTTACACTACAAAAAATCTTAAATTAAGCGTATTTTCCTTTAAAGCTACAGTGTGTAACTTTTAGCGACATCTAGCGATCAGACTGCAGACTGCAGCAACATGAACATCCCCCCCCACCGCTTCTCCCCCCCAACAGTACGGCGAGCGTTACGGGACAAAATGTCTTCCACGACGTCCGCATCACCTACCTTCTCAAGTGATGAGGTTTGTTTACATACTGTAGATAATTTTACAGATAGTATTTCATTAGTCTGTGTAGGGTATAGATTTCTTGTAGGCTTAAGATAATAAATATACCCGTTATTTTTTCTACATCGTTGTGACGTTTTGGCGTTCTCGCAATCGCTAGTTTGTTGGCTCTGCGCTGCCGTAGCGCAAAGATGTCTGCCTCCATGGCTGCGAGACCCGCTCCTATGTAATTATAAATAACGAATTCTAAGGCAACGCAAATATTAAGGTTAAAGGAATAGTACACCCAAAACATGATTAGCCTTCATTTTCTACTCACCCCCATGCTGAACAGCACTCTGGAGTACTTTTTTGATATCTCAAATGCATCTGGAGATCTGGGAGGCTTCTTCTCCCAGAATGCGCACTTTCATCTGGTTTGGTCTGCCGCTGTTTCCGTAGCGCCGTGAACTCGCAGGCGCGCGCTTTTAGGAAATCCTATACACTACTGTTTATGCTCTAAAAACATTCTAAATGACTTCGTTTCGAGTAAATTATGGACGCTACCCACTCAGGACACTTGGAATACATTGGACGAGCAGTATGGAGGAATATTGACACGTTTTTTGTGGACTTTTATGGACCTTTCTGCCTCGGGCGCTGGGGACCTCCATTATTTGAATGTCAGCAGACAGCAAGAAGCCTCCCAGATCTCCAGATGCATTTGAAATATCAAAAAAGTACTCCAGAGTGTTGTTCAGCATGGGGGTGAGTAGAAAATGAAGGCTAATCATGTTTTGGGTGTACTATTCCTTTAAGAGGCTGAGCTCGTAGATGATGATAAATATCATAGTTACGTATAATATATTACATTTCTGACTGTATATCACTGTAATTATTACACACTGTAGCTTTAATTTGAGAAGGTAAATAAGATGATTTGCCAATGGAATTATTTTTTTACTCTTAGAATAAGATAATTAGATAACATGCATTTGAAATAAGACAATGCAATTGTTCTTTTCTTATTTTAAGTTTAAATTGTCCTGTTCTATTGGCAAAATGTCACCTCCTCAATTCAAGGAAAAAAAATGCACTTATTTTAAGACAAAATGACTTATTTAGATTTATTTTTTTGTACTGTAAAGTTTGGTTATAGTTTCGGATGTGACCTATTCATTGGCATTTCTTACCGCTTGCAATTGTGAAAAAACAGAGCTGAGAAATAAATTTTGTGTTGTTGTGTATTGCTTTTAGTAGCTGGTGCTTTTTTTTCTGACATGCAATTTAAATAAATGGTCTGATATTGTCACATATTGTCACATGCAACAATATCTATCCATCAATCCACAACAGGAGCAGTGTTATACAAAACTGGATCACAGTGTCAAAAGCAAAGGAATCGAAATGTGTTTTTAAAAGACATTTAGAGACAGGTGAAGAGGAAACCTGTTGGATACTTAGCGGCAACCTATTCTATAATGTAGGAGCTGCTACAGCAAATGCTCTGTCACCTCTTAGCTTCAGCATAGTTTTAGGGACAGTCAGAAGAAGCTGATCAGCAGACCTAAGTGATCGAGGTGGGCAGTAATGCAGGAGTAACTCAGATAGATTTTGTGGAGCGAGGTTGTTCAGACATTTAAAAACAAATAACAGCTTAAAATGAATTTTATAATAAACAGGGGTCAAATAGAGGGACGCCAGGATAGGGAAAATATGCTCACACTTCCAAGTGTGAGTTATCAAACAAGCAGGAGAGTTCTGCACAACCTGCAAACGGGCAAGAGACATCTGACTAATGCCTGCATAAAAAGCATTACAACAGTCCAGACGACCTGTCATAAAAGCATGGACTACTTTCTCCAGGTAAGGCTTTTAAAGATTGGCTTCAATTTAGCTATTTGAAAGCTGATAAAAACTTTTCTGAACAACACTGCTGATCTGTTTCTCAACTTTAAGATTGCTTTCAAACTTTATCCCTAGATTTGTGACCAAATAACATAACTTCTGTCTTTTTCTTGTTTGGACTTAGGAAGTTAAGAGAGCCACGCTTTAATGTCCTTGAAACAATGCGCAAGTTTCTTGATTGCAGTATTATATGCAGAAGGGAAATAGTCATCAACATAACAGTGAAATTAATGCTGTGTTTCCTAAAACAGAGCAAAAGGGGGGAGTAGGTAAAGGGAAAATAAAAGAGGACCGATAATTGACCCCTGAGGGACCCCTTGTAGGAGAGGAGTTGTTGAAAGCACAAAGCTGTCCATCTTTACACAGAAACTCTGACTGGATAGGTGGAACAGACACAAATGGGAACCTTGCCACCCAAAGAGAACCACCCACTATAAATGTGATGATGCTTTAAAACAATCCATAGAGTGAGACTGGGATATCATTGAAATTAGATTTGTTTTGGAGCTATAGAGCTCTACTTTGATATTGGTCCATCTTGGACCATCCATTACCATCAGACTCCAGCACCAACTTATCTCAGTCTAGAAAAAAACGATGGTTACAGCCATTTAACAGAGCCATAACCCTCTTTTTAGACCAGGAGCTCCTGGGCTGCATGCTTAAAAAGAGTCCTACCTGGTGCTCCTTGAAGTCCTGGTGGTCCTACAGGAGGAAAGTGCAATATTATTTTTAATAAAACATGTATAGCTATATGGTCAAACAATGAAACATTAATAGAGAGAGATTTCACCTGCAGGTCCAGCATCTCCAGGAGGCCCAGCAGGACCCCTGAGTCCAGGAGGCCCTTGGTCTCCTGAAACCCATCAAAGAAACAACAGAATTTCTGATGACCAGTTGATTACATTTTACACTTTTTGGGGAGATATGGTAGAGCTTAGAAGAAGGCCTCGTCAAATGCTGTGTGATTTACCTCTTGATCCTTTTTGACCATCTTGTCCAGAAAGTCCTTATGACAAAAAGAAAAATGTTCTTATTCCTAAACAAATCTACAACATGGTTTTAGCTGTAAGATGGTTTGTTTCAAACTGCTCTTTGCAGCACCATGAAACAAGATGATCATGTTATTGATTTCAAGCAACCAGGGATGACGTAAGATTCAGTTCACCAATAACTCACCCATTGATCCTTTGGAGCCTTTCTCTCCTGCAGGTCCTTGGAGACCTGGTAAACCACGTTCACCTGATAAATAATACATCTGGATCAGTAAACCCGTGCAGATTGGGTTTTTAACAGCCTAATTAACAGAGACTTGCCCACCTTGCAGACCTCTGACTCCCCTTTCACCAGGTTCACCTAAAATACACAATTAATACAACTTATTCAAAACATCCACTGAATTGATGTGATCTTCTGAAACAAGGAGAATCTACAAACCTTTAAGTCCTTGAAATCCAGCGAGCCCTCTATCCCCTGCAGACAGAGAAAAGTACCACTCATAGACAATATATACGTAGACAACTCATTAGACGCTGTCGGCAGCAAGGCCGACATGTCTAGAGGGCGGCCATCTTGGATCAGACCACAGTTCAGACAGAAGGAATAGAAGACACCTAGATCTCATTTTAATCCCATGAAACATAAGTAAAATATAATATTACAATAATTTCTTCCATGTCACAACCCCTTAAAAGACCAAAACAAATTTTAAATTACTCTTCAGTTAGATTACACATATTTATTCAGATTAATAACTATTTAAACTGAACTCAAACTGGATGAGATATATGCAGTTATATATTTAGCAATTAATATTAATATGATAAACAAAAAGTTTTATACTGATATATTATAAGATTATGTTTTACAAATATTATATATTTACATAGTATATTAAATATTATTCAGTATTTTAAGGATTGCTATTTGATGACTATTGTGATCTATAGAGGGAAATTTGTTAAAATGTGATTTGCTATTATCATTATTATTATTTTTTTTTATTAATTTTATTTTAATTTTTATCATTGACAAATTGTAATGAATGGTAAATTTAAATTGTGTCTACCAAAAGTTTTTTGTCCAAACTGCGTTTTTAAACTATGTTTTCTTTAGCCCTACTTCCTTTTTCCTAAGTGGTTACTCCACTTGTCAGGCCGCCATTGTAAATAAGAACTTAATGACTTGCCTGTAAAAATAAAGGTGTAATAATAAATAAAATGTTCTTTTATTAGCTAATGTTTGTCATATATAATATATATACATGACACCCACACACAAACACCCAGAAGAAGGAAACTATCCTGTGGAATCCAAGTAGATTTATGTTGAAAAGGATTGAAAAGGATTGTAATGTCTAGTCTATACACAAATACAGTGAGATAAAAAACATAGTTCGAAAAAGAGTTTTGGAAGAAGTTTGAGCAAAGGACATAAATTCTTTAGTTTGACACAACATAAATTTACGATTCACTGCAATTTGACAAAAAATAAAAATCAACATAAAATAAAAAAAAAATACTCTCATTTGTAAATCACATTGCAACAAATTTTCCTCTATAGATCATAATACTAAGTACCAAAGAACAATCCTTAAAAATACTGAATAATAATAATAATAATATACTATGTAGATATATATTATTTTAAAACATAACATAATATACGATAATATATAAGATATAAAACATCTTATAATATACTGATAAAAAACTTTGTGTTTATCATATTTCTTTTATTGAAAAATATATAGCTTTACATATATATCATCCAGTTTGAGTTCAATTTAAATACTTTTTAATCTGAGTTAATATGTGGAATCTAACATAAAGGTAATTTTAGAATTTTTGGGGGTTTTTTAAGGTTGCCTCCTTTTACTGACAGCAGCTGTCAGACTGTGGCTGTCTGATTCAAGATGGCCGCACCTCTAGGCACGTCGGCCAGTGTCCAATGAGGCGTCTACATATATGGTCCCACCTAGCATCATAGAGAACATGAACGCCATAACACACTGTGCTCTTTTCTCTTAATCCTAAGTGGAGCGATCCTATGTGGAACCAACCTTTTTGTCCTGGTAGTCCTGCTTCACCGCGGAAGCCCTGAGCACCTGGTTGACCTACAAGTAAAACAGAAGGGAGCATATTGAGTAGCATTTTAAGCTTTTTCTACTAACCATGAAATAACTAAATCATGTGCATGAAAGAAAGAAACTAACCAGGTGGGCCAGGTAACCCTTGGATTCCTTGTGGACCTTCAGAAAAAAACAACAAAGTAGAAATTACCATAACTAAACTATAAGCAGCTCCGTTATAGCAGGGTCACAGGATTAAATAGATCCTGATATTCATTCAGATTTATTTCTGCACTACAGCGTTAAGAACATTCGGTTTAAATATGAAACACCTGCTGAGAAGCAGTGAAAAGAGTCAGGTTACTCCTAACCCTGGTGCACTGTCTGCACTTTCATTGTGCTGCAGACAGTAGTTGAGTAATACCTTCAATACTTATGTTGATCTCTCCCTTCAGTTTACTAAGGTGGGTCTTCCCTTTCTCCCACAGAGACACGCATACTGTTTGATTGGATGTTCCTACCAGACAAATACCTAAATATATTCATCTAAACTGTCTTATACTGTATAGATGCAGAGTCCAGGGGAGGAAATAGAGTTAACTAACAATTATGACAGATCACCCTCTTTACATGATATATAACACAATGTTTTCACCTGGGTGAACCTCAGCCAGAGTGTTGTCTGGACACCAATGATTTATTTCAGTTGATTGTTGTTATAGAAACATCAAGGACCTGTTGGCTGATGTTAGTTGCCTATCTGACTGCCCGCTCTGCTATATGGAAACAAGTTTTCTTTGCAGATCCAGTAGGTACTATGATTTCATTGCTCATGACAGATTTAAGGTCAAGCTTAGAAGGGTCTTCCATCATCTAAACATGCGGGAAGGATGTTGATAAAGTTGTTACATCATATATTGTGAGCCAACGATGCACTACACATATTTCACCACAGACTTCTTTAGCTTTAGGTAATTATGTTTAGGTGTGAACCCGTGACGTTAGGAGACAAAAAATGACCAATTCCACACTGCCATCTAGTGGCATCTTTAATTCATACACTCTACTCAATTAATACACTTGACATGGCACAGATATTCCTTTAGTTTTATTTCCTTTTTTCTTTGTTTGACAACATTTTTATTTTACCATTCCTGATTGTACCTTTTGATCCAGGAGGCCCAGCAGGTCCAACAGAACCAGGTTCACCTTGAGCACCTGCATCAGAACACAGATCACTTGTATTTATGCCAGAATTAGCAAATTAATAGTTTAAAACTCCTCCGCTGAGGCATACCTTTATCTCCTTTCTGTCCAAAGCCTGGAGGTCCCATGTCGCCTCTAGGTCCAGGTGGTCCTTCGCGGCCCCTAATACCTTGTGGTCCATCTACTCCATGTTCACCTGATACAATGTTTTGCATATAGACATCAGTCTATAGCAACCAATAGGTAACATCATTGATGGTGAGCTTAAGCAGTGTCTTTACCTTGACTTCCTTTTTGTCCTTTAGGGCCCTCAGGGCCAGTGTGTCCTATCAGACCTGGAACACCTGAAACCAAAGGTCAAAGTCTGTAAAATGGCATCATGAAAGAACCTCACTAAGGAGTGCAAACATGAAAGTGAACTGTAGAAAATTAAAACACACCTGGAAGTCCAGGGACGCCAGCTTCTCCTGTTGATGGTGCAACGCACAAAGATATTTTAGCTTGATTAAACTTTTGCAGTGAAAAAAGCAGAAAATAGACATTGTGTTTCCCAACCTTTCAATCCAGGGTCGCCTGAAAAAGCAAAAGATTATAATTACTTAAATAAACTTGAATTCTGATGTAATTTAAACAGATTCTGTTAAAAGCACCATATTTTTCTGGTACCTTTGGGTCCAGGTAACCCCCTCTCTCCCTGCACTGAGTTTGCTAAAAAGGCTGAGGCAGAAAGCAGGTTTTTAGTGAGCTGATGCAGAACATGAATGTTGGACAGTGTGTGACTCTGCTTTACCTTTGAATGTCTGCGACTGCATTTCAGATCTTAACATTCTATAGATGGTTGTCTGAAGGACGTTGTCAATGTATGCTCCACTCACAGCAGTCCCATCGCCGTTCCAAACACCGGTGCCAGTGCTGAAACCATTACCATCACTGCTGGCGCTCCCGTTAAAAGAGGCACCAGTGCTGCCCGTACCAGCCCCAGCAGCAGAGATTTTGCCTCCACCTCCTGCTCCTCCTCCAAGAATGAAGGTTTTATCAGAGCCAGTGCCTCCACCTCCTGCTCCTCCTCCAAAAATGATGGTTTTATCAGAGCCTGTTCCTCCACCTCCTGCTCCACCTCCAAAAATGATGGTTTTATCAGAGCCTGTTCCTCCACCTCCACCAATCAGCCGACTAGACTCAGCGCCGGTGAACAAGGCCTTGGTCTCCAGATCAGCCACCCGTTTCTTGAGCCTCCTCATGTCCTCAGCTGAAAAAAGTTATATTTTCAATGTGCAGCTGGAAAATATATGCATATATATATTGGTGGGCATAGATTCATTTTTTTTGTCTAGTTTAATCTCACTGTAATCTTGGAATTAATATAGATCAATTTGGATTAAAATCACTCATTTGAATTTTGCCAAAGTCATTCATATGTTTGTGCTTACCTCCAGAATTTAAAATACCAAGTTTCTTTTTTTCTTTGCAAAATCACACTTCAATTCGTCTTCTTACTTAAAATTTTGACAAAGTCACTGAATACTTTTTTGCTCATTTCTTACTGTGTTTTTGCTGCAAAAAATAGAGTGTCCCAATTCCAATTATAGATGTCCCACTTTAACAATTTGGTGTCTTCAAAAATACGACTTTGGGGCAACAGTGTTTGAGGGTAATATAAAATCTCTGTTTAGAATGTCTTTTGTGATGTGAAGATCCCGAGGTTTTTAAAAATTTAACACGAATTTAGCTCTAGAAATGAAAGATGCTGATATGCCAATAATTACCTGCCCTCTCGCACACTGATGAGAAAATGGATTGAAATATGAAAGAAAAGGGATCTTTGAAACATATTCTTAATGTTTTCATATTTATTATCCATGAATCCCCAAAAATGTAGTTTTTGGTGGATAAATGCCAAGAATTACCTCCCCTGTCAAAAGAGCGTGCATCGCCCTATACTCTAGCAAAGGGGTGCTCAAGTCCAGTCCTTAACAGCTGCTATCCTGCTACTTTTTGATGCACCCCATTTTTAACAACTGAATCAAATGAGTGGCTCGTTACCATACCCCTGCTGGGCTAAATAAGGGGATATACATATATCTTTATAATTCAGTTAATAATCATATTTACCAAGTCATTATTTGCGGGGATGGGCTTCTAGGAGGGTGTGGGTGCTATCACAATTGTGGCGTGTTACCATCTAATCTAATTTAAATCCCTTTTTTGTGCCACAATAGGGAAAATTCCCTCTCTGCATTTAACCCTTGAGAAGCAGTGGGCTGCCATTGTGTCGCACAAGACATGCGCAAAGCAGGTCAGGAGAAATGTAATCCTAATGTAATGTAATTCCTTAAAAGAGCATTTTAGGTTTTCTTTTAGATGTTTTTTTTTTTTTTTTAATTAGGCAAGAATATAAAGCAAAAAAATAATAAACAATTGCATGGTACTGGGTGGTGGAGTTTTGACTGTTGCTGTTGGAAACCCAGTGAATGGAAAGTAATAAACAGAGCTTGGTGTCTTTTGCACCTCCTAACTTAAACCATGTAGCTATAAAGAAACGCATGAAATAATATAAGGAATATTACTAGATAAAACAAGCAGGGAGGTTGCAGAACCGAATGTCTAAACTCAAGTAAACTGACAACAAATGCTCACTAATAAATAAACTGGACATTTCTTAAAGGAACAGAACTAAACTTTTAATCTTCAGAGTAAATCTTTCTATTGTATAAAGGAAAAACTGACCACATGATGTCACTCATAATGTGAAAAAGGCTGTGAAAGAAATTTAATGAAGATTTTGTCAATAGCAGTGGGAATTTTTTTAATTTTTAATGGCAACAGATGTGTCCATTGCTTTACGGTGCAGTGCAATACACTTTATTTTAGAGGAAGAAGTTTTACCAGTCTGTTTATCCCAGTCTTATCACTATATAACCAGACTGTTGACTCTTTCACTGCACAGAGAACTGACTTATATGTAGTGTAATGTGATGTCACCCTGCAAATATTTCCAAAGCTGCTCCATGGACAATGAATGCCAGACTTTATGAAAGAGAGGGAGCCAAGCAGGGATCATATTTCCAGGAAGGGGCCTACATGTACTGTCTAACAGAGCATGCTCACCAGTTTATAAAAGCTAAAAGTCTAAAATCTCTCCAAAATCTTGTGCTGCTGAGGCTATTAACCCTCAGGATGGCTGAAATAAAAAAAATGTATTTTCCTCTTTTTAAATTAACTCAAATAGCGCTGTATGAGCCAGTCTTACCCAGTGCAATAAGGCCAAACAGGAGCCCGAGCAGGAGCAGACAGAGGAGCAGCAAACCCAGCAGCCACTTCCACCAGGAGCAGCAGGAGTCAGAGCAACAGCAGAATCCTCCTCCTCCAAAGACGCCGCTGTCCCTATGAATCTCTGAAAACAGTACATTTAGCTGAAGACTGAAACCCTCACTTTGCAAGAATTTACTCTGACATTTTATACTATCGAACATTTTTTTAACGTATTTATCTATTAAAAACAAAGAAGAGGTGTCTTTGATTTAGTTATTTATCAGTTATTTAATCATGTTGGGATCTTTCACAATTCTCATAAAATAAATCCATTGAAGTTTGAACAATTCTCTGAATCTTTATTGAAAAATGCATAAATCCCTTTATAGGGCAAGTTTTAGATCACTTGCATACCACCTACAAATGGAAACCCCCCTGAGGTCTAGAAACACAAGATTTATATTTAACCATTCAGCAATGATACGCATGTATGTGGCTTTACATGTTATTTTTGCAATTGACCAATTAGATGTTGATAAGAGTTTAAAAAAAATGTAACTGCCTGTATCAGTATTAATACTCTACGCTTAAGAAATTATGTAGAAATAAATACAAATGTCTTAAATTAAGTGTATGTCGCCTTAATTTGAGTATGTAAAAAAGATGATTTGCCAATGGAAAGAGTATTTTACTATTAAAATAAGATAACTAGATATTATGCACATGAAATAAGTCAAGGCAATTGTTTTTTCTTACCGTATGTTGAATGTTAATTTTCTTGTTCAATTGGAAAAGTATCTCACTTTTCTCCTCAATCCCAGAAAAAGTTAACTTATTTTAAGAAAAAAATTACTTATTTACTTACTTATGTTGTAACAAAATAATTTTTTCTTTCCTTTTGTGGGTGTTTTTAATTATTTTTTTTATAAAAGCACTTTTGTTATTTCTCTAAATATATTAGACAAAGTGACTTCTTTCTTGTTATTACATTGACCTTAATTTTTGCCATCAAAATATACATAGTTTTTGAATGTTACAAAAGCTATAAGGTCTTCTCCTGTCCTTCAATAACACTCTAAGCTAAAATTTTGATTTTCAAAGTATTTCAATGAGTGCCACATGAAGGGCTAATGTTACTAAAGATATACCTGCATAGGTCGCCTTGTCTTTCATTAGGACTCCAGATGATCCATCTAATTAAAAAAAAAACTGGTGAGTATCACACATTTACACTGAAAATTTCTGAAAAGTATATAAATAGTGTGTATAATCTCTGCTCACAGTACGAGTTGCCTGCATCTGTTTTCATGGTTCCTGTGTCGATGTAGCTGGAAATAAGCTTCTCCTTCTTTAAGGAGTCTCCTGACAGTGAACCTGCAAGGAGGATAATGTGAAACAATAACTCATCAGCAATAACTCATATTGCATTTTTCACAATGCAGCCATGTCAGTGATAGTGGACGTCCCTTTGCTGTTTTTACATTGTAAAATAAATATTGCTGCACATATCAGATGGCTGATCTGGTTTACACTGCTGCCAGTAGCAGTTTCTTAATTTGGGCAACATGGCTCCTTGTCCATGGTGCAACTGTGTCTGAGGGCAACACAAGTACAGGAGAAAAAAAACGATATTGCCTATCTATACATATTTGGACAATGAGAGAGAGGCACTCTCTTCTTTGTACTTTAAGAAATAATTAGACTGAAATAGTAATCTTAGCCTACATTATAAGTTAAATTAAAGGGCTAAATCACTGTTTTAAATAATCCAAACTGCATTTGATCCCTTTTAGCGTAAAATACAGAAATATAGATTTATTAAAAATTATTATTTATCAACAAGAATTCTTTAAAACATTTTAGAAGTGTGAAAATTTCTATTTTATTAATGAAAAAAGAGCCTTTTATTATGACTTAAAGGGCATGTTATCTTAAATAACCCATTAAAAAATAAGTATTGACCTCCTTCAGGTATTTCAGCTGAAATACGTGAAATCTTGGGGGAACATTTAGTGGGTGGGATCGTCTTTAAACATGAGAAGTGTCTCTTGTTCTCCATGAGAGGGCGATAAGTTCCCCACTCACCTCCTCCAACCTGAGCACTGCTGCTGGTGGTAAACTGTTTGCCACTGTCTTTTGCCAGGATGAGCATTTCCCCCTCCCTCCTGGCTGGAACGTTCCCCTTTTCAGAGACAGTATATTTATAATCTCTCTTGTAGGCATCATCTGTTTGGGACCTTGTGGCTGAAAAAGTGGCAACACATTGATAGGGCAGTTCAGTTACATCATAAGTCTCCTGCACAGTTGTTTGTTCCTTATTCATTACCTGTAGAGAACCCTGAGCTGATGGCAGCACCACCATTTGACACATTCTTCTGGACGCCATAACCTGTCGAATTAAACACTTTGTAAATAAAAGTGCTGTTTGGGTTTATGAAAGCATGACAGGTAGGGATGGGAATCGAAAACCGGTTTCTGTTCAGAACCGGTTCTGTGTGTTCCAATTCCATGGCACAGTTTGGCAGCTCGCTTAACGATTCCCTTATCAATTCCGAGCAGCACCAGAGCCTAGCGCTGGGCAGCACGACTTACATTAGGTTTTTTATGCAAGTTACGCACACGGCATTCAGTAAGCAAGTACGACGTGACCAGGTGTAAGTCTAGAAAAGACAAACAAAAGCGCTCAAAGTGATCGAAAGTTTGGCTTTATTTTAAGGAAGAGAAAGATGGCAACAACGCACTTTGCAATCATTTTAAAGTGGCAATTTCATCCGCTGGAGGAAATACTCCAACATGCAGAACCACCTGCGCACACAACATGGCATACATTTTACCGAATGCCGTGTTTTTATAGTTTCCGGACAGAAGCTAAAGTTACGACCAACATGGAAGTCAACTCTGGTGGAAATAAACCAATTTCCTACCTCTCTTTGGGGTTATTAAACATGCTACGAAGTTGCTCGGCAGTTCAGGAAGCGAGACAAAGGTGACGCTTGTTTATTCAAATCAGGGGGAGATGAGTTTATTTCCTGAAATTGTACAGTAATGACTTTTCATTAAACGGATACTTTTTCTCCATTAGATTTAGATGACTGTGACGAGACGGGTAGCCTGGCTGGCTCAGAGGCTGGCAGATCCCGTTCACTGCCTTTGGTTTTCACAGAGGCAGGCAGAAATAGAATGTCCCAGGCGAAGGTAGACGAATGTCACCGTGCACTTACCAAGTTCATTGTTTCACAGAATCAATAAGGAATCGAAGTGTTTCACAGAATCAATAACGGAATCGGAATCGTGAAAATCTTATCAATTCCCAACCCTAATTAAAGGTATTTGATACTACATTGACTTGCAGCCATACCTCCCATGCTAGAAGAAACGTTGGCGGCATTGGTGGAGAGCACAGCAGCAGAGGTGGGAGCCAGGTTATTCTGAAAGCCATAAACTTTAAACAGAAACACATTTAGTAACTTGGTGTCAAATTGTGAAACAGGAATAACAGCAGCTTCTAAAAATGTGACTTTTAAAAATATCTTTCTTTCTTCTGCTTATTTTGGTTTAAAAAAATATGGACTTTTAAATTAAAACTGTGATTTCGCACCTTCTATTGTATTTGCAGAATACTTTAGGTTTTACTCTGAGGGATGATACTGACCTGATAGAGATGGTGCTGGGGCGGGGCTGATAGGCGGCGAGCCTCCTGACATGTTATTAGTGCTGACCTGGCCGAGCTGGTAGGTGTAACTGCCAGAGTTTCCAGCTATGACGGCAGTGGCTGAGGAGGGCAGGGTGGTGGTGGACCAAGAGAATGTTGGAAAGGCTGAATCCAGGGTGTCGTACTGGCCTGATCTCCCAATGGTGTCATACTGGCTAGATTTATATCCAGTATCATATCTCCCTGATTTCAGGCTCATGTCATATCCTCCCGACTTCACACCAGTATCGTACTGAGCTGAACTCAGACAAACATCATACTGGCTTGACTTCAGACCAGTATCATACTGAGCTGCACCCAAGCTGACGTCATACTGGCTGGATTTGACTCCAGCGTCGCAGTGGCAAGATTTTACAGTGACAGCATGTTGGCCTGTTTGGACGCCAGTATCACGCTGCCTGGATGTCAGTCTGCCGTCATAGAGGCCTGACACATCAATGGTGTTGAAGCCGCTTGATTGAACACCAGGTTCAAATAAAGTTGAAACTGTTGAAGGGGAAAAAATTACCAGAAAATAAGGATCAGAGAAAGACGTGAAAAAGAAAAGTAAGACATTAAAAAATGTTTAAATACTTAGTTATCTAAAATTCAGTATGCAATAAATCTAAAAACTCTTGGAACGTCTTATTCTGAGGATGAAATTAGGTCAAAAAACGTTATCTGAGTAAAAAAAAAGGAAACTAATAAATGTTTGTAATTGGAAAATTTTATTTTGAAAGGCCGTGGCCAGGGATGGGCAGGAAAAAATGTGGAAGATTAGAATTTTCTTTCCCCGTTCAATAGAACCATAAAAACTAAAAAGAGACTTTAAGTATTTTATTTTATTTATCTTTAAAGGCAGCAACAGACAGCATGTACCGTCATGCAGTTGGTTTGGCTTTGAGTTAAACTCAAGAAGCTTAGGAGATAAAAGGCTAGCCTTGCTATATAATTTTCAAAAGGATGAAAATCACCTCATCTATCCAAGGATTCATGGAAACTTTCTCTCCTACTATGCTTCATAGTCCATGAAAACATTTTTTTTTTATCAATCAAACTGAGTATCTGCAGGTCAAAGAATACTTTAAACTGTTATCAGCCAGGAAAAATATAGGTTTGGTGCATCTCTTTTTAAAAATAGTAAATAGTAGGCTGTTAAGTTTCTACCTATAAACTACACATCATCCTTGATCTGAGTGGTTTCACTCATAAATAAACTCATTATAATTTATCAAAACTTTATTTGTGTTTTTTCTTTTTTTTTTCCAGAATAATAAACAAATCCAGAGTTAGGCTTAGAGTATTTGGCACTGCTGGGGTTTTTAGATCCCAAAGGAGCATGCAAATCCTGGATTTTAAAAACCAGATGCTTAGCAGTGGCTGTGGGACATTTAGGATTCTCGATTAAACTATCTGGGTGACAGACAAAGTGTCTATGAATGTGCAGCACATGCATATTTGCAGCTCTAGTAACAGTATAGTGTATACCCGACTGAGTGGCCACTGAGACGGTCTTGCTCTCCGCACTGGCTTTTTTCGGTACTGGCAGCGTGATGGAGGCGCTGGAGGAGCGGGTAGGACTGACGCTGCTGGAGCGTCCCTTCAGCAGCTTCTTCACGTCTTCCAGCTCAGCCCCTAACAGACCAGTTATACAAATGCTGTTCAAAAAGCTTAGACAGCAAATCTGTGACAGAACAAACCAGCTGTAAGAAGAGTCACCATGAAAGCTTACTTTTTATCAGTATGAAGTTTTAGATTGTTTTACGTCCGTATTTCACATGTCCAAAGGCTAATTGGTGCAGTTTGCTTAGGTGTTATTGGCTTTTCTGTTTTTATACAACTTTATAGCCTTGAAAATTTGTACGAGTAATGTTTTTCTGCATGTAACTCAATCCAACAAAATATTAAGGCATTTTTATATGTTCATGTGCCTAATGAATAGACTGTTAGAATGTGTAGTATGGCAAGAAAAAAAGCAGCTAAGTAAAGAAAAACAAGTGGCCATCGTTACTTTAAGAAGTGAAGGTCAGTCAGTCCAAAAAATTGGCAAAACTCTGAAAGTGTCCCCAAGTGCCATCGAAAAAACCATCAAGCGCTACAAAGAAACTGGCTCACATAAGGATCGCCCCAGGAAAGGAAGACCAAGAGTCACCTCTGCTGCAGAGGATAAGTTCATCTGAGTCACCAGCCTCAGAAATCGCAGATTAACATCAGCTCAGATTAGAGACCAGGTCAATTCCACACAGAGTTCTAGCAGCAGACACATCTCTAGAACAACTGTTAAGAAGAGACAATGTGAATCAGGCCTTCGTGGTAAAATAGCTGCTAGGAAACCCCTGCTAAGGACAGGCAACAAGCAGAAGAGACTTGCTTGGGCTAAAGAACACGAGGAATGGACATTAGACCAGTGGAAATTTGTGCTTTGGTCTGATGAGTCCAAATTTGATCGTGTTTTTTTTTTTTCGACGCAGAAAAGGTGAACGGATGGACTCTACATGCCTGGTTCCCACCGTGAAGCATGTTGGAGGAGGTGTGATGGTGTGGGGGTTCTTAGTTGGTCACACTGTTGGGGATTTATTTGAAATTGAAGGCATACTGAACCAGCATGGCTACCACAGCATCTTGCAGTAGCATGCTATCCGGTTTACGTCATTTATTTTTCAACAGGACAATGACCCCAAACACACCTCCAGGCTGTGAAAGGGGCTATTTGACCAATAAGGAGAGAGATAGGGTGCTGCACCAGATGACCTGGCCTCCACAATCACCGGACCTGAACCCAATTAAGATGGTTTGGTGTGAGCTGGACCGCAGAGTGAAGGCAAATGGGCCAACAAGTGCTAAGCATCTCTGGGAACTCCTTCAAAACTGTTGGAAGAGCATTTCAGGTGACTACATCTTGAAGAGAATGCCATCAAGAGAATGCCAAGAGTGTGCGAAGCAGTAATCAAAGCAAAAGGTGGCTACTTTAAAGAACCTAGAATATAAGACACATTTGATGCCTTCAGTGTGAATCTTCAATTTTCATAGTCATGAAAATAAAGAAACTTTTGTTCTGTACTGTATAAATATATATATATATCTATATCTATATAGATATAGATATGAAAACTAAAAAAGGAGGACGATCTCAAGAGAATCTCAAGAGAAAACATTTTTTTACATTCAATTTTTCACTTGCAATGATTTTCTTGTGTTGTGTAACTTTAAACAAAACACATTTATTACCACAATGGAAAGTTGGAGACCCATTTTAGGAGGGTAAAAAGTGGCACTTAAAGTTATGTAATTTTGATTGAATAACAGCAGTTCCACACAGTGATCATCAGGGGGAGTAACAACTAGTACTTTTCCTCTACACAATTTTGTCTCAAGACCAGGAGTGACTCATTTGTACCACTTCTGCCAATGTGATCTGGTCCTTTTACTTTTTTCTTTACATTATCCTATAGTGTTAACTAAGTCAGAGCCGTCACTGTTTTAAAAAGACCTCCAATGTATTTGTAAAGCAGCCTAACTGCACATGTAACTAATAGAAATTTTGAGTTATGTGAGATCTGGAGTGTGACTGTGTGGAATGCAGTTTTTAGGCCAAAACATTTGACAGCCACATAACTCAAAAATAAAAATCCCACAGTAGAAATCATTTAACAGCAAAGTCCTTCTTTGAAAGGACTATCAGAAACATTTTTTCTGCATTTTGAAGAGTTGCATAACAGCCAAAGGATCAGTGTCTCCGTTGGTCTTACATCTTCCGGCAGATGGGGAGGCACTTTGTAACCTGGCTCTGATTTCACTCTCTGAAAAAAAAAAAAAAAACACACAATGGATCAAGGAATCCTGATTCATTAAAAAAAAAAGCAAGCCAAGACAACTCAGACAGATTAAGCGTAAATAATGAAAGGAAAAAAAAACAGACCTCTGCTTTCGCTCCTCCCTCTTGTGGCACCAGAGCCTACAAAGAAAAATGAGAGGAAACTTCAAACACATTTGCAGGCCTGAAATGCAAAGATATTGTGTAATAACAAAACATTTAGCCCTACGCTGACTACTGTCTTACAGTAGTTCCCATAGTCTTTGCGTGGAAATTCTGGTGAAGAATTGGCACTGGAACTCCCTGAAAGCAAAACATAAAAGTTGAATAGGCATATAAACAGTTCCAGCGCCCCAGAATTGTGTCAGAGTGCCTCGAGGTTTTGTTTTTATTTGCGGACACCTCTGAATTGCCTTATTTTCAACAGGAACCTACCATCATAACCTCCCGAGCGGCTGGATATGGTCTTCCTCTCGCGGAAACCTGGTGAGAGCCCCACTGATGACCCAGCAGTCTGAGCTCTCCTCGCACCGCCTGATGAGCTGGACCTGACCTTCGACACGGAGCTCACAAGATAAGTGCTTCCACTGCCTCCTTCCCCTCTTCCTCCACCTCCTCCACTCCCATAACCCTCTCCATCTATGTAGCTCCCACCTCCCTCGCCTCCACCTGAGGAGTCTCCTCCAAGGTAGATCCCTGAGGAGGAGCTGTAGTTACTTGTCACACCTACAGAGGCTGGACAGACAATAAAAAAAAAATAGATTCAGATAACTAAAATATAAAAGAGGTAGGTAACTTAGTAGGTACATAATCAGGCCCCGCTTTGCCGACAGGAGACACAGGCAGCTGCCTGGAGCGCCATCTGCTGGTCATGGAGCAACATTACATAATAATTAAAAAAAGGAATAAATATATGAATTATGAACCATGGAGGCCATTACCAGGAAGTTATGTTTTCCAACAACACTGGGAATTTTAGGAATGTTTTGGTGTTTAAGATAGTTTCTTTCTGGAAATACTCCCAAATCTTTTCCAATTTGTCCAAACCTTAAATTAAGAAATTAAAATGTATTTTCCTTGTGCAAAAACGTTTTTTTGTTTTTGCACATATTGTTCTTAAGTTATATTTATAACAATGTTGACCAAAATGGAAAGCATAAATATTTCTTTCACAACATTTGCAGGGCATTTTGAGTTGTTGGTTATTGTAATATTTTTTGGGGAACTCATCTTTCAAATTAAAATGTAATCTATTTGGCTGTAGCCTTTAAAAGTTGTTGTCTTAACCTTAATATTCGACTTTTTCTCTTGATTACACTGTTTTATGTTGCTTTGATTTTGCACTCATCACATTTTCATTCAATTCTAAGTAGTTGGTTATTATTACATTGTAATTCTATCCTTCAGACTTATATTTATTCTTTAGGTTTTTGTCTTTAAAACATTTTTGTGGGAACATTTAAAATATAAAAGGAATAATTGATTAATAGCTGTGGAGTTGCTTTTTGGGAAGAGTGCAAGCTCAACATGAGGGGGTGACAAAGGGGTATGGTCACCTTGGGCACCAAATAACCTAGAGCCGGCCCTGTACATAATGTATGAGTGGAGTGAAGCTTTTAACATGTTGTATATTTTAAAGTTACACTGAAAACCTGATAACTATTTTCTTTAAAGTTTTCTCAAATGCTTAGTCACAAAATAATTTTACCAGGATGTCCAAATTATAAATGTTTAATCTGAATGCTTGTCAATCTATGCTGTCTAAGATCTCCCATAAGATCATCATATACAGTAGTTTAGAAACAAAAAAAAACTCTAAAATCGGCCATAATTAGTCATAGTTTCGAATGTTTGTAAATGTTTAAAACTCTGAAATGTAAACCTGTCCATTTTATTCAAAGTGAATACAGTGAAAATGGCTCCATTCACAAGATAACGGCATTTCCAATGTAAGTCTATTGAAGTTGTTCTTCTCTCTTTTGTATTAATATAATGTGTTTTAGGAATAATAACATAATCCTCTTTTCTATAGCAGAGCAATATGACCATCTGAAGTCTGCCTTTGATTGGAGGATTTTTTTCCACATTATAACTCATCCTCAGGAAGCTCTAGTAGTGGAGCAGCTGAGCTGTGTTCAAGATGGACTAAATCATTTTTTAAAGACTATAACACAACTCAAAATTTGATCATTCTTATCTGTCCTTCCAGCACTCTATATCATATATATTATCTTATGAACTGACATCTCACCTTCAACAGACAGAATAACACATGGGCCTGTAAGGTTTGCTGTTTATTTGTTAACAATAGCAGATTTCAAAACAGTAATCTATTATGTTTTTATTGCACACATACTTCTTTTAATAATAATTGTGATAACTTTGATTTATTGTTCAGATCCAGCCAGAAAACATGGCAATGTCTCTTAATTTTCTTTTTAAAAAAAAATTCCAATTCAACACTCATTACATACCTCAGGTACCGATCTCAGATCAACTTTAGCAATTTTTATTTTTATCTTTATTAAACCTCTGTGACATAGTTTGATTAATAATGTTTGATTGAAAATTAATCAAATCCATTCCTGATTAAATTATACTTAAAAATCCTTCATTTTTTCCTTTTTTTATTTCAATTCCTATTTAAAGTATAACCATTTTCTGTTCAAACTAATCTTGAGATTAGACCTCCCAGCTTCATATTTGTTATGAAGACAATTTAATAGGAAGCATATAATTAATCCATTAGAATCATTTTAATAGGAGGTGAAACTGATTTAGCATATTTTTTTTAAGAAGCATATATATGCTTAACAGAAGAGGTATTCAATTTTATTGCTCTGTTCTGTTACATTTCAGATTACAGGGTTGTGCCTTTAATGCATAGCTCTACGTTCAAAATGAAGGTATTGTGCATAAAATTACAAAGATTAAGAAAAAGGTTATAAAGATTTAGGTGTTCCAAAAGATTAGAGACATTTTTTTTCCTTTTTAACATAACATTTTTAACATAAATTAGTGTAAATAATCTGATGTGTTGTTGGAAGTATAGTTGAAATGGTTTGATGTACTAGGTTTGTTGTTTATACAAGAAATTAAATAAAAAGTACATAAAAAGCAGCCACTTTATTCCTACTCTCTTCTGTGGTATTTCCACAGTAATTCTCCTTTAAATTGCCCTCTCTGCTTTAACGCTGCTCCGCTGCACAAATCCTGAAAATCTTTGTCGTTAAGAATATAACAACCCCAAGCTTTGCTAAGAGACAAACCCACAACTTCCCACAACTTAGCCCTCGAGTGGAAAGTTGCTCTCACATGAAGAGAAGTAGGTTCCACTGCTGTTCTGCGTTAAGACATTCTTCTCAAAGCCCAGCCCTCCAGCACCACTGGACATATTCCTGTGATTTGATCCACTGGTTCCCTCTAGCAACGAAAAGACAAACAGCAAAACAAGAAGAAGTTGTTACTCATCAGCTACTTCCCTGAAATAGTTAGCTACAACTATGATAATGTGCCTTCGGTTTATACTGAAGACAATTTGAAAGGGAAAAGCAGACTCACTGGGTGGGAGAGAAGTCAGCCTGCTTGTGGAGGTTACGGTTTCTGTCAAAACTGAAATGACAAGCAGTTATCACTGGGTGCATTCTGCTTTATCTATTTCTGGATTCTTATTCTTATGTTCATAACTGTTGTTTTCAGTTAATGCAGATTTCTCAATATTCTTTTTTAAAATTCATCTTTAAACAATAAATATGACAAGTAATGCTTTATAGATTAATGGCAGGACACAGATCAGAACAATAACTACTATAAGCTTGTTTATGTTAGGATTATCAAATAGATATTGGCTTTGTCTCTATAAAAACAGATTTAATACAACTTGTTTTAAGAAATGCTTTAGTTGATTTTTTTTTCTTATTTCTTTTTTTTTTAAGCAAAGGCCTTCTTATCACTATTTTGTTCCATTCATTTATGACTACTCTTAATATATATTCAAATAAGTCTTTTAATATTTTATTTTTTAATATAATTGAAATTTTGATCTTCAAAATACAGGGTTTTCTATAGATTTAGTCTTCTTAAGACTTGAAGAAATATAATTGATAAACCAAAGTTCTAAGTGCTAATTAAATCATAGATTTAACTAAATTATAAAACAGATTGGCATGTCAATGTCTTCTGCTGGGTAGAGTAGGTCTAGGGCACACAGTGATTTAAGTGCTTAGGGATCCTGGGCCACAAGGGGCCCCAATGAGTACTGGAATCCTCAGAAAGAGCAGACAATAAAACAAGTTCCTAAATAATTTATTAAATCTGAGCCTTTTATACTAAACTTAAAGGCCATTGTGATCTTTATGATTTACATTTAATCTATGGTATAAAAATAAACACCCTGATTTAGTTAAAATTATGCATTAAGATATTTGAATAATAATAGTTATATGATAGCCATATCATGATGATATGATACCACAGTTTTATTCTCCCTGAAATTTACAATTGTTAACAGTTCACCTAAGTGTAGATTATAACTATGTATACCTGACTGCCAAACCATTTACATAGGTTGGGTAAATAGTATTGTGTCTGTAGTTATTTAATTAACTACATGGATTGAATATGTTCATTAAGGAAAACATGTTGTGAAGTACTTAGTTTAATTTGAATCTTACTAATAAACCATAAACTATAGGCAGTCTATGTTATAAAAAAGAAAAAAAAAGAAAGAAGAATATGTATTGTTTTTGCTGATGAGCTAAAGAGGGAATAGAATAGAATAGAATAGAATAGAATAGAATAGAATAGAATAGAATAGAATAGAATAGAATAGAATAGAATAGAATAGAATAGAGCTGCGATATTTAGCTGTCAGGCAAATAGGCACATACAGATTCACACAAAGGTAGAAACTAAGATAGGAATAAAAAGACTGTAAAAGTGAAAACATAAGCAAAATAATGTATAATTATGAAAAAAAAACATACACAGATTTAAAGAAACATGCAACTAAGTTGAATCATTTTAAATAAAGTACAAATTGCACATATTTGAACATATAATCAAAAAACAAACTGTTTAATAGAAATAGAAAATCTTTGCACACAACAGCATGAATTAAAGTCTACCAGCAGCAAGAGGAAGGACCTGTGATAACGCTCCTTAGTGCATCCAGGATTTGAATGTCTACCACTGAAGCTGTTCCAGTGGCAGAAACTTCAAGGACGCGATGAGGAAATATGTTCAAGAATGTTGTTATTGAGAAAGGTTCTGTCGGCTCTAATAATAAATAGTTGGTCTCTCATCTTTCTTTTAAAGAGGCTGTTATTCTTTTAAGGATTTGTTGGAGTCTGTTAAGGTTAAAGTGCATCTGAGATGTTGTTTGGTTGTCCTTTTGCCTAGTATTTGGCTACGACAGTAGAGGCCTGTTATGCACAGGCCACTACATTAAACAGAACGTGTTCTCCAGAATGACTCTAATAAAGTGCTATGCACAAACAATCCTTTTTCATACACTCCTTACACGGTTGTGTGGATGCTTGCAGCAAGCATCAGAACTCTGGTTTCATAAAAAAAAAAATCATGGAAGGAATTTAAAGTTTTTCAAAAATCATTATGTGTCTGATATTTTCTGTGTAACTACAGGGTCCAGAAAATCCTTATTCTTCTCTCAGTAAGTATTCTGACGTCTGACTTAAGGCTGCTGTGCTTTACTGGCTTTGCTTAAAGATAACGATCATTCCGTTTAGATTTCATGCCGCCTTCATGTCCTCCTCCATGTCTGTCCTCCTGCTCTCCTTCCTTTTTGGGATCTCAGTCTGTGTTAAAGTGAAGGCTTAACCTGATCATTATTCTTCTGCTGTTATCCCTTCACTTTAGAAACAAAACCAGACAGTTGTTTCTTCACTATAAAAGTCCTGACACGGATCATATATAAGGATCAGCCAAAGCACACGGTTCTTACTTTCTCTTTTGTAAGAGCATAGTACTTAAAATGTCCATATTAGCACATCTTGGATTTGTATATTAGTGCTAAGGCTTTGGTCTCGGCTTCTCTGTAAACAAAGCAAGTTTCAGTATCAGGCCACTATTTAAAGGATTTCCTCATATTTCATATTCTTATATTTCCTCTTAACATGCAGTTTTGAAGTGCTCAAAAAAAAATCTGTCTTCCTTGTAAGTTTGCACTGTTAAAACTTTACCCCATTCAAATCACTAAAGGTAAATAAATCTATGCGTGTTGGGATTTATTTGATCTTAGGAGTTATTAGACTATCTGTACTCCTTGCGTAAACACTGAAAATGCATCACGTTTGTTAAAAGTCATTATGAATGCTCTATCTTTTAGAAAAGATTCATATTTTCCTCAAAAACATGATGTATAAAGTAAAGTTATCGCTAAATATGTTCCTTGTATATATATTATGTTTTTAAAAGTGCCAAGTGATTGCACCACGCATGGAAATTCACTATATGTCAAAAATAATGCAAAAGGAAAAGTGGCATTATATCAAAGAAATGTCTTGTGTTAAAAAAAATATATATTTATTCACTCTTTTCTTTTGAAGACCTAGAACTGTATAAGTGTTTTGTTATATCATGCTTTATGTAAGAATCCTAGCCGCCATTTAAAAAGAGAAGTCAGAGAAGCTGTTTATTCCCCACAGCTAACATCCAACATATACTTAAGTTTTGCTGTAGCAGAAATGTTGTTGACTTTTTCATCTAGCTGCTGATTTTTGAGAAATGAAGTAGGAAACCAGTAAATTCATGCATGATCTTAGATGTTAGTTACTTTCAGACAAGTTTCAAAATTCTTCATTTTGGACGTTTCTGCAAGGATGCAGCAGTTGATTTTCTTATAGAAGTGTGTTTTTACGCACTGCATTTCTTCCTGTCTAATTTTAGACACTGATCAAATCAAACATTCTCACCCTTCTCTCCTGAAATCTCCATCTGCCTTGTTAAATCGTCCATCCCATCTTATCTGGTGAGATGAGGATAGAAGAAGAAAAGAGACATTGACCACCATCCTTGCATGTCTTTAAGTGTAGAAAACAAGATTTCAACAGCTGTTTGATGAAGAACAAGGAGAAAGTTGTCCTGCAATGAAATAAGGGGTTATGGTCTTCAAAGCGGCTTGTTTACAGCACTGCATTTAAATTTCCTCCAGACTGAAACGTAGAAAAAAAAAATCCCCCACATCAGTCGCATGATTATATATTAAGCATCACAGTCAAATGCTTCTGTGGCTTTTTTTTTATTTGGACATTGGCCTGCAGTTATATTAATTGAAACAGGCTGAAGACACTCCCCTCTATGAAGAAACTTTTCCTGCCATGTTCTCATCTGAAAGCTGAAAACCACCATAAAGCTATAATGGATCATCTGTGGAGCACGTTTGTGTTTTTGAACGCAGAAACAACAAAGAAACAAAAGGAGTTCAGGCAGATCAGAGCACAGCTATGAAAGACCATCCCATGACCACACCCTGGCAGATAAGGCCATTTAACTACATTCATATTTCTTGTTTGGGGTATACCATGCTTAAATCCAATCAATAAGAGAATATGTCATATAAACACCAAAAAATACATTTCAGAAAGTGATTATGAAAACCAATACCTTCCAACTCCTCATTATCATCTTATTAAAGCTTCTATAAACTCATCCTGCCTGTTATAGGCTGTAACTGATCTGAGGAGCAATTATGAAGGCTTGATGCCACAGGTCCTCTAGTGTATATTTAGATGGATGTGAATAGCACAGAAAAAAAGAGGGTGTGCTGTGACAGAAAACGTCCTAGGGAAGCCAAAGGGAAGTTAAAGTTACCCAGTTTCTAAAAACTAACACTGCAGCCCGTCACCAAACTCCAAACCCCGAGAGTGCAGTCCTACAGGGATGCAAGCAAAGCCAGGTGCAAGAAATATTCCCACAAATTCTACACAAAAAAGGAGTTTTAAACTAAACAAAGGCTCTTTAAAAAATGAGAAAGGAAATAATTCCTTGAGCAGTGTTATAATCCGTACCTTCAAGCAGTCAGCTTGGTCAGATTCCTCTGGGGACGCAGCGTCTTATCCAGTAGAAGAACAATGCGTCAGTGAGGAGCTGACGCGCACAGCGAGCGGAGATGTTCCCTAAACTCCTCTCTCTTCTTTTGTCTCTTTTTCACTCAACTTTCCCATGCGAGTCAAAACACAGATTTTGGGCTCTGGTCCCAGCCGCGCCCATCAGAGCAGCAGCTTGGCAGGCAGGTGACGGCACGGGAAACTGAATGTAAAAAAGAAATCAGCGCCTGGGGGGGAGGACAAGGGCCAGTTCATATTCTTAACCCCTGCAGACTCAGATTGAGGGGGAAGAAAAGAGAGAAACTCCTCCTCTTCCAGCTACTGCTTCACTGTATGGGCAAGTTTTTGGTGGAGGTGGTAAAAAAAAAAAAGTTTGATTTGTTCTGTTTTTCAAAAAAAAAAGAGGGAGGAGACTTTTTCAGGTTGTGCTGATCTGCAGTGGGCAGTAAATCCTCAAGCAGCTGGAACACATCTGGACTCCATATTTGAAGAGGAAACTGAACCTTTGTTCCATAGGCTTAAGACAGTATATAGCTGAATATTTACCCAGCCTAAAAAAAAAAAAAGTCTTACAATTTCCAAATATATTCACAGTGACTCAAAGTAGAAAACATTTGTAAAGTTGAATGGTTGATGAATACATTGAAATATCTTCAAGTTAATCTGGAAAACTTTGTGAAACTGCTGCAAATCGTTGCAGATCTGGATACCTTTTTTTCCATTTTAATCTTTCTTTAAAGTCTTGTCACAGATTTTTTAATAGTTATTAGTACTAGAGTTGGACTGGAGAGATCTAAGTAAAAAGAATTTATCAAAAGTTGAAGCTAATTGGTTTAACATGTGGGACTTTGCTGTTGAAAGACAAACCTCAATCTTTTTCAGCCTCCAAAAGGTTTTTCTCCCAGAAAACTTTAATAAGCATCTATATTGCTATTACTTTTGATCATCTTCCTTGCCCAAAAATCATTCCAAATTTGAAGCAATAGTGTCACTTCCATGCCATGCTGGCATGTTCACAGTTTGGATTATTATTTTGCAACAAACAAACCCTAATACTGAGACATCTGATCATTTTACAGAACATCTGATGGTCAGGTTATTATTTTTCCAAGATGATCCAAATGTTTTTTGTTTTGTTTTTTTTAGGAGATTTGATTTGTGTTCATATCTATTGTTTTAGATGATGTGATGAATGTTCTAGAGTAAGTAGCAGAATAAGCAGTTTGGGATTTGGCAAGTCAATCTTGGGCGCAATCCACATGTGCAGCTCTGCTGCTCGAAGCACAAATGTTGCACCATTTAAAATGAAAAACACAATCGCTCCAACAATACGATGTATTGCTCAAAAGGATTCTTGAATAAAGGGAAAATCAACTGAAAAGACTTACCACCTTTTGGGGTAAGTTTACCAACACATTGTTAGATAGATAACAAAGAAATCTAGAAAAATCTTACTGTTTTTCTTGTTTTTAGAGCACAACCTCTTATTCTCTAATCTAATTTTAGTTGGATCTAGTTAAAAGGGCTCATAGTTCCCTTTTCAGTGACATAGAATCATGAGAGTGAAAGCTGAGACTCTGGTTTCAGACAATGTTTAAGTGAATCTTTGTTTTGTATAATAGCTGATATAAAAAGAAATGTTGAGGAAATATTGATTTTGAATAATAAGACAGTTAATTGCACTTGGATTTTTTCCTGGGGTAGGATTAATATATATATAAACAAATGCATGTCTTTGCTGAAAACTCCTCCTAGCCTACAATTACTTGCTTTGTTGTGTTTCTCTGACATTAGATGATAAAATTAACATAGAATTCCAATGATATTTGTGGAGGTTTGTTTTATTCTAATGTGACAAAATATGGGTAAATATAAGGGGTGTGAAAACTTCCACAACTTTAACTGACAGCTATTTGTTTTGCTGCAATTCATACGAACTGTCTTCCTGTTTACAGTTCTGTTAGGGAGGACTGATACTTTTCATGTGACAGTTAGGATTCTCTTCCAAAGCAGCAGCGTGAACCTTTTCTCACTGCATGTGATCTGCCAAATGAGAGGACACAAGATCTGTTTTTAAATCTATAATCAGAATACAAATTCCCAATCTGCGTATTTACATTTATGCCATTTGTTGCCAAATTAGAAGTTTTATTCCTCCAGTGGAAGCCGCAAGCATCCGCAGGTTCCCTTCACCCGCCACACCCAGTAGAGACATCCGCCCACAAAGCATGACTCAGAGCCAGTGAGACTCTAATCTGCTCAAAGGATTGAAAACAAATGGCCCCATGGAGAGGAGTTTCTCTGCTCACATCCATGTGTGAGTTTGGACAATGGCAGAACCTCAGCAGAAAGCAACACATTGGTGGAAAAAAAAGGAAAAAAACAGAGCTGACTGAGCGGAGACCTTTTTCAGATACATTCCTCCGGTGTCAAAGACCTTCTGAGGATAAGATTTCATGTTTGTAGAGAAAGTCAGCAGCAGTTTCCATCGCGCTCACAAAAACCTAAACATGGAAAATATATTACGTGACTTTAATTCTCATTTTGTAGCACCCACTACAATAAAATCATACTGATTCTATCTTGGGGAGTGTTGGCCTAGTGGTTAGAGCAGTGTGTTTGTGCTCTGAGAAGGTTGCAAGTACCCAGTTTGAACCCCACAGCCTCCACTCTGGTTTCCTGAGCATGACCCTTAACCCCACACTGCTCCCAGGGTGCCACACAATGGCAGCCCACTGCTCCCCAAGGGGGTGAGTCAAAATGCAGAGAGTAAATTTCCACATTGTGGAACAATAGGCAAGGCAAGGCAAGGTAAATTTATTAGTATAGCACAATTCAGTACAAAGACAATGCATAGTGCTTTACAGATTAAAATATAGAAAAATAAAACAGAATCAAAGCAAGTAGGAAAAAAATTTTCAAATGCAGAAACAAAAAAGAACATTAAAAACAGTTGGACTAAAGAAAATAAAAAAGTTGAACTAATGATGTTTCAGTTGAACTGTTTAACTAGAACAGTCGAAGGCAATCCTAAACAAATGTGTTAAAGGGATAAAGGGGTTAACATTAACATTATGCAATTGCTTTATTTATTTGGTATAAAAAGTCCTGAAATTACCCATGGAATGACTTGTCTAGTTAGCAAATAAAAAAAGGCAATTTTATGGTTAGAAGACTTTTCTATCTTTTTAACTATCTAAAGAAAAAATCATTTTTTCCTACTTGGCCAGGATATTATATGTTATTCCAAGCTGAACTTTCAAACCATTCTACAGTGATAAACACATTCCAGTAGGGGCTGGACACTTAGTGTGCATGCACTTGCTCAGGGGAAGTGCATGCACACTGTGGAGAGAGAACTGTTTTAAACTGCAATTATCACTTTGTCTTGATATACAAAACTAATTATGTTAGGCAAAAAACACTTTTAATGACTTGCTTTTAAGTTCAGAGCACTTTCTTTGGTGTTGATGTCTTTCTAATACATTTGAACATCTTAAAAGCACTAGCTATGATATTTTTTGTCATAAAACCTACACTGTAAAATCATATTCGTCATCATTCATCACCAAAAAAGTACAGTGAACAAGTATTTTAGGTTGTGCTAACTAGAACTTTATTTGTAGGGTACACCTATACAGTACTTCAACTATAATAATCAAATATTATTACTTTATAACTTCCTTTAGATATACCAATATATTAGTTAAGAATGCTCAAAATAAAAATTTTAATGTATTTAATATTGCATGGGAAATTTTTACTATTTAGTCCATCTATCCGTCATCATCCACCACTAAGTCCAGCAGGGTCGCTCTGGAGCCAGTGCTTATCTCTAGTGTTACGCTGATGCCATTTTTTGGCCCCGATACCTGGCTGTGCAGTATTGGTCCATACCAATACAATACCAATACCATCTGTTTGAAATTGATTTGTGTGTATATATGAAGAACTGCATACTACTTGGATGTAAAAAAAATTGCGTCATGGCTTTGTCAAGCTGCTGCCTACCTTTGTGAAGCAGGAAAAACACTAACACAAAGTGTAGAACTTTTTATTGCCTACATGTACCTGGAATGGATGCCAATAGTTGAATAAACTTTTGGCTCTCAAAATGGTATCAATGCCCTATTTGTTAGTACTCACCGATACACATACCACAATTTTAGTGCTGGGTCAGGGCCCTGCCCGATACTTGTATCGGTGAAACAATACTTATCTCCACCAGTTTGTGATCAAAAGGCAGGCTACAGGGCAACACAGAGCCATACAATTATGCACACAAACACTTAAGGAACAAGAGGTGCAAACTGACCTAACAGTCATATTCTGTAGGAGGGAGCTGGAGTACCTGCAGAGAACATGCAAACTCTACCCTGGGCCAGGAATCAAACCCCGCACCTTCTTGCTGCAAGACAACAGTGCTACAAACTGCACCACTGTTGGCCCATCTTATTGAAGTTGGGCTCACACAGAATTCAGAATTTCTTAGTTTTATTTATTTGACCAGAAAACTGATTTACTTAGTACAACCTTGTAAACAAACTGCATTTAAAAAGCAAGCGTTGAATATCTTAAATATGCATACATAAATATAAAACATGTAAAATACTCTAATTAAAAAAAAATAGTAAAAGTTTTCGTTTTTCTTCTTTATCAAGTTTAAACCTCCAAATTGCAGTGTAGTGGAGTGACTTATTGTCGCTAGTTAGCTTAACTCTTAATAAAATAAAATTCACCCTAAATTTGATTTAATTAATTTTTCACAACAGAATTACTTCACTCTACCCTGGGCCATGTAAGTGATTATTACATATTGTTGTTAACCTGGTAAGGTTAACTCATATACATTAAATCTGGACAGCTATTCAATTTTACAGTATATAACCAAAAGTATAAAACATATGTAAAAAAAAATCAAGCTTAAATTGATATATTTCTTAAACCAGATTGGTTACCTTAAAACTAGATTTATAGAAAAAACAGTACTTATGGGCACTTCCCTAATGCCACGTTCAGACCGCACGTGATAAAAGCTGCAGAAGCACCTGGTTTACATGCAAAGTCAAAGGTTGATGCACATCAAAAGGTCTTTGCATCTTAATGCATTTTAGCATCTGAAGCAGCGTCTCATCAGCTTCTGAGCATGTGATGCGCATGAGGCGCTTCACAAGCAGCAGCTGCTGGAGTTAGAGGAATTTAACTTTAGCTGCTCGATGTGCCACATCAACCAATCAGAGAAGCTGAGGCTGGCAAGGAGACAGACACAGCGCTGCTGATGCAGAGAAGTC